TACTTACTGCAACTATTGTACTCGTAAAGTAATCATTTCATCTGTAACTCGTTTTTCAATTAATACAAACTAACAAGGCATGTGATCATTACCACCTCCTAAGGTTTTATGCCGGAGATCCTAAAAATGATCAAGGGCTTTCCTTGTAAATCACTTGTGTCACATACTCTTGATTTGCTCATTTGATTTGATTACAAAATCACAGCCTCTCATATAATTTGGTTGATTTACACTTGATTAGTTTTTGACCAAAAACAATTTGGCGCCCACCATGGTATCGTGGTGTTCGCAATCTCCAAAAATTATGTCTACACAACCAATTCTTTCTTCCTCCTCTATTCACTTTGTTCCTTTCTTCACTCTGGTCCTCCAAAATCCTGTGACTTAGGATTTTGATGAACCTTTAATACTCCTAATAATATTAATGTTAGTAACTTCTTTAATAGTAATATTGCCAAAACTAACTCTATGGATCTTGATACATGAATAAGTCCAATTATGGCCACAGAACTCAAACAGCTAAAACAAATGATCTCAAGTGTACCAGGGATAGTCTACTCTATACTTGAAGTATCTCCCACCAATCATAGGATCTCGAGATTTACTCCTACGATAGTTGATACTGAAGTCCCAAAAAGTTTCCAAACTCTCAGCATGAAACCTTATGATGGGACTATAGATCCTAAAGAACATGTGGCATAATATAAGGAAAGAATGGAGATCATCCCCATTCACTCACATTTGAAGGAAGCTTGCATGTGCAAGGGTTTTGGTTCAACCCTCACAGGATTAGCGTTAAAGAGGATAATTAATGTTCCACCTTGCTCTATTACTTCATTTACATATTTAGTTAATCTTTTTAACATTCAATTTTCTTGTAGTAGAACTTTCGAGAAGACCATTAGTGTTCTTTATCGGGTAATCCAGGATCCTAAGGAATCCCTAGGGACTTTGTAAATAGGCTCGGCAGGGAAGTCTTGACTATCCCCAACATCGATATGGCAACCACCGTAAAAGCATTAAAAATGTGCCTAAAGAAGGACTATCTTTTTTATGAAGACCTTGTAATGACCCCATGCAAAAGGATGGATGAAGTTAGGAGGAGAGTGTTAAGGTTCATTAGGCTAGAAGAGGATAAAGAGACCCATAATATGAACAACCCTCCTAAGTTATACGATAACTCCAATAGGAAGGCCGACTCCTCGGTCTAAAGATCCTAGAAGTCAAAACCTTATTCCAAACTCGACCATCACAGGGTTAATGCCCTTGAGGATGAAGGGGAGGAAGACGACTTTCCCAAGATCACTGATTATTGTTGTTTTGTGGATGTTTCAGGTATAATCAATGCAATGCAGGATCTCGACGACAAAATAAGGTGGCCAAAGAAAGGATAAAAGTCCACTAGCTATAAGGATAAGTCCAAGTGGTATGTATATCATGAAGAATTTGGTCGGGTTACAAAGAATTGAATAGCTCTCATGAAGGAGATCAGCTACCTCCTGAGCAAATGATATCTCAAAAAGATCTAGGATGTCAATCCAATGGGCCGACATTAGTGCCTTCGACCCACAAGTACAGTAAGGAAAACTCACCTCACAAACTGAACAGAATTGATAAGGTCTGACTCCGAATCTCATCTCTCTAAACAATACATATTTCCACCAAATGACCAATTCCATCAAAATCCCAAAATACCCTCAAGTTCAAACTTGTTCAAACTCAGTTAAACTTGGTCAAAGTCAAAGTCAAAGTCCACTGGTCAAACCCACTAAGTCAATTGAGTCAACTCAGCTAAGTCAACTAAACAAGGTTGACCCATGCGAGTATGCAGGGCGTACTCTGGAGGTACGCTTAGCGTACACGAAGCCTCGCATTGAACACCATCGGGGTGGTTGACCAAGTACGTAGGGTGTACCCTTATAACTTCCAAACTCCATTTAGTGTTTAATGGCTTAAGCACTTAAGCCCATATTTCAAATCCATGACGAAAACATACCTAGAGTCATAAAGTCTCCAACTTTATGACTTTACACGCCTAATAAGAGCTTAGCACAAGGTCTTAATCCATTAAGACCTCCTACAAGATGCATGGAGCAAAACCAACCAAATGCACTTCATTTTTATGGCTAAGGACCCCTCTTAGGGTCTGAAAGGACAACTTAAAACGTCCAGAACATTCATGCTCAAGATGAGACTTTTGGGACCAAAAAGATGACAAAAACCCCAATTACTAGATCTACAATATTAAGAGACAAAGGTGAAAACTTTATACCTTAAAAGGCTTGCAAATGAGAGATAAATCCCAGATCTAAGGTGCCTTTTCAGCCAAGTTGAGCTTGATCTTCTTCCTTCCTCTTCTAATCACACAAACACACTCTTTAATGCTTGAAATGGCCACACAAGATGCTTCTAGGGTTTCAAATCACGAAGCGAGGGTAGAGGTTGATTAGGTGAACATAACTAAGGCCATAAAAATGCTTAAATACCACCCAAATCCTAGAACTTAGGGTTTCCAACTTTGTTTCGTATGCCCCATGTACATAAGTATACGCCCAGCATACTAGGGCGCGCCCTAGTATGCTCAGTGTACACACATGTACGCTTGGCATACCTCTCCTGCCCAAAATTACGATAATGCCACTAAGGCTTCAAGGCACATTCTTACGAACTTAGGGAACAAAATATCATATAATAAACTTAAAGGGATAAGTTTAGAAGTACCTAAACATCGGAATATTACATTCCAACTCAATATCTACAAAGAAGATATTTGATGTTGCAAACCCTTATGGATGTGGACGCTCCTCTCGGATTTGGACATCTAGAACAGAGGATCACCTAGAGAAAAAGTTCTCGGCTTGTTTGAACACATGGGTAAGTGTAATTGAAAGCTTTGTCATGTCCATCTTTTATCTATTTGTTTGGTTCGTTCAAAAACATGAACTTATTAAGATAACCAACCAAATAGATAGACGATTGACATGATAAAGCTTTTAATTACACTTACTTATTTGTTTGAACAAGACCTGAACTTTTTCTCTAGATGATCCTCCGTTCTAGATGTTCAAATTCGAGAAGGGTGTCCACATCCACAAGGGTTTGCATCATCAAATATCTTCTTTGTAAATTTTGAGTTGGACATCAACGATTGAGAGGGAGAAGAAGATGTAGCCATTACAAGAGATCGCACACATACATCGTTTGTTTTTCTCTTCTTCAAGCCCATAATCGATATATAAAGGGCAATCCCAATCTGATTATTCTATGTTATTAAATATAATGTTATGTCAGTTGTCAACTAATTGTATACCTAATGAATTTGATTGCCTCTAAAGAGAATTGAACAAAAGCGTAGGTTTGTTGGGTTTTTCTAGACAAAGATTAAGTTTGTTAGGTTTTTTTGAACAGAAAAAATATGATTAAGGTTTTTTTAACGGTTTCAAATTTTGTTAGTCTTACAAGTCATCTTTCCAATATTTAATTCTATGTCATAAGCCATATCATTCGTAACTTTCATTAGCCGGTTGACTTGAATGAAAATTGAACAAAAGTGTAAGTTAGTTGGATATTTTTAGAAAAAATGTTAAGTTTGTTGGGTTTTCTTGAACATACAAAACATAATTGAGGTTTATTGAAAGATTTGGTAACTTCGTTGGACTTATAGGTCATTTTCATTTTTAAAAATGGCAATGCTTGAATATCCATCGCTATGAGGCGATGTCGATATCCGTGTATGAATGTTTGTTTTGTTGTGTGTAACTAGTTCTAGGGACCCAAATGTGACAAATTGTGGATTTTGGATAAAAGAATAAAAATAAATTCTTAATTGACTGAAGATGCAGATTGAATATAAGTCCGGACTCCTGAGGCTAAACTTGTAGTTTATTTCTTCCTTTTGATAATTCGGTTTGCCTTTCAACTTAGTGCGTAAAGTCTAGATAAGTGGTGTTTCCATTCCATAGTGAAGACGCTAAACAAGCCAATGAAATTAATTCTTCCCTTTTACAAAATTATGTTAAAAAGGAGACTTACCATTCACGACCTAATTCCTCTAGTTTTCAAACAAAACCAACTTGGGATTGTAATATTATATTAAATGAGATCAGATACAATATTGCACCAGAAAAAGTTAGTGCAAAAAGACAACAACTTTATGATGCTGTCTTTGTCTATGATAAAAACTAGTTTTCTATTTTGAAGTTCTCTAGATCTACTTCTAATGTACTATACGAGTTGGTAAGATACTGGATGGCTGCTAGTAAATAATCTATGAAAGAACCTCCGTCAAGGATCCCATTAACACTTTTTAACGCATTATCTATTTAGCACTTAACCTGTACAGTGTGGGCATGTGGATGCAAGGACAAGATCTGCACGGCTGAAGCATTTCTGGAAGTCAAAAGCTACAAAGTGTCTAGACGAAAGAATTATTTTAGTTCCAAAAAAGCTACAAGTGTCTTGATAGAACCAGTTGATTCATTGAGGCTTTTTTCTTTCAAATCAACTTCAGCTATAATTTGTTGTGGCGAAGTTGGTTCTGTTTGTCTGGTAAACTTCCATTATCTCCATTGACACGAAGCCTAATTAAGGGGAATTTCAAATGATAAAATATCTACCGTGTTATAGAGTATTGAGGAATGTTGTGATACATGTACACACATACGAGTTTACCTAATGATTTGGTGAAAAAAATGAAGCTCAACTAATGTAAACGATCATCTTAATTATAATATATATCCTTGGAAGATAATCAACGTTATTAATTAGTGCCTTACGTAAGGATACAATATTGATTTGTAGTGCTTTGTGAGTGTTGGGCATTGTTAGATTAGTGACATATATATGTCATGCACCCTATCTTGACCTACCCAACCAGAAAAGATGATGCAATTTGATTTTTTTAGCCACAGACAAAAGCTTCATCCTTTTTTAATATTTGTTCCGTATATGGAAAGAGATCAGCAAATCTTGTGTATAAATAAGCTGTATGTCATTAGAGAATCCACATATCTTACATTTAACAGTATTCCCTCCACGCTCCATTGTACATTCTCTTGTAAAAATGACTAACAATAATGGAGTTGAATGGAGTATCAGGATGGGTGATGGATCATCGATGGTGTTGGAGCCAGAGCACAAGTATGGAGTGATGAGAATATGGGATGGATTGAAGGGTTTGATCATGAGGTTTGTGATGAGAGTGTGGATGTTCTTGAAGAAAGCATGGGATTTAGGAGTCGATGAGCCTAGAAAGTTCTTCCATTGCCTTAAAGTTGGTGTAGCTTTGATGGTTGTGTCATTGTTTTACTATATGAGACCTTTATATGATGGTGTCGGTGGCAGTGCCATCTGGGCTGTTATGACTGTAGTTGTTGTCTTCGAATATACTGTTGGTACGTATTCGACATTCTCGTTATCAGATCTTTGTTTCATTTGTAAAAACACGCTAATGTGCGTGCACATGTTGCAGGTGGAACGTTATACAAGTGTTTGAACAGAATCTGTGCCACTCTTCTTGCTGGATTTCTTGCTCTTGGGGTTCATTGGGTTGCTAGCCATTCAGGACACCAATTTGAGCCATTTATCATGGGAACTTCTCTTTTCATATTAGGTAACATCAAGAAACCAAATTCATCAAATTGTATGATCAGTGAATTAATACGCAAAGCATTGCTAATTAATGATCTTTCTTATACAGCTTCTGCTACAACCTTTTCAAGATTTATACCTGTGGTGAAAGCTAGATTCGACTATGGTTGCACCATCTTCATTCTCACTTACAGCCTGGTTTCAGTCTCAGGGTACCGAGTTGAACATCTCCTGCATGTGGCCCATGAAAGGATATCGACGATAATCATCGGGACTTGTTTGTGCATTATCACCAGCATGCTTATTTTTCCTGTTTGGGCTGGCACGGAGCTTCACCTTCTGATCCCTCGTAACATGGATAAGCTTGCGAAATCGCTAGATTGTGAGTGCTAATAACATATATATACGTACCAAAAGTATATATAATAGCAGTTGTCGAAAATTTTCACTCTTAATTAATCGTTTTTTGATTTCTTATAGGTTGTGTAGCTGAGTATTTTGGTCATGATGATGAGGAATCAAAGAAATCATCACAAGGTTATAAATGCGTGCTAAATTCAAAAGCTTCCGAGGAGGCCATGGTATGTAAAAATGGCAAAGAGTGGTAGAATCAGTTGTTAGCATCCATGCATGGTGTTTTGTATAACATTCGATATGTTTTTTTTCATGTAGGAAAATTTTGCTAGATGGGAGCCTGCACATGGCCAGTTCAATTTTCGGCATCCATGGAAGAAGTATCTCAAAATAGGTGCATCAGCCCGCAGTTGTGCGTATTGCATTGAAACACTCACTAGTTGCTTGGATTCCAAGAATCAGGTCCCGGAATCATTAAAGAATCATCTCGATTCCTCATGCATGAATCTTAGCTCAAGCGCATCGAGGGTGATAAGAGAGTTGTCAACAATGGTAAGTACAACGACAAGATCCGACAAGATAGATATGGCGGTTGAAGATATGAAAAACGCTGTTCAAGAACTACAAAATGACTTGAAATCCCTTCCAGATTTGCTGGTCCAACCACATGACAAGGTAGAAGAGTCATCAACTCCAAAATCACTCGAGAAAAATGATAGGGTTCCAAGTCAAATCACAGTAATTCCTCTCATGGAAGTTATTCCTATTGTGAGTTTCGCGTCTTTACTAATGGAAACAGCTTCAAGGATAGAAGAAAACATTGTAAAAGCAGTTGAGGAGTTAGCGGATTCGGCTCAGTTTAAGCAACCAGAAGATAAAATGAAGCCCAAAAACAATCCGACCAGCAAGATTGTCTCCGATGAAGAGGGCGCCCTTCAACGTGTCTAAGTAATTATAACTTTTACGAACGAAGTCAAAGATATGATCATAGCATAAACAACCTCTCTGTTTGCAGGTTTAACAATGGTGGTATCATGACGCACCAGGTACAAGCAGTCCCTTCTCTCTGGGACGATGCAAAAACTGACCTGGGGTAAACCTTTTTTTTTTTTTTTTTTGCTCTTTATGGCAAAGTACTAAAAACAGGAAAACCATTTATTTAACCCACTGAAGTATTGTATATGTTTAATTCAGTGGAGGCAGACTCGATTTGCACTGACTTGTAGACAATCTAAAAGTTCGTTCAATACTGTTTTTCCACCTCTGGGTCCTACGTACAACTCTGTACTTGTTTCCTTTTAAAGAAAACATGGTGAATGTGTCCATTTAAATGTCGTTATGATCATTTTGAACAATATAAATATGTTGGAAAATTAGTAATTTAGTTGATTACAATCCATTTACGTATAACTAAAATGATAGAATTATCTAAATCAATAGATTTAATTACGATGCAACAAATGGAATCCTAACTATTCGTATGTACATATATAGCTTCTATCTTATCCTAGCCCATAATGTTCAAGCCCAATGGCTTTCCCTTGTATAATGTATATGAACAGAAATAAATCCTTCTGGAAAATTTGTCAGAATAACCAAAAATTGGGTTTGAAAAATATGACAATGAAAATCGGATTTTTATAAAACGATCAAGGTTTCTGCAGAGATGGGCTCTGCGGAAATTGTTTATGCTCTGTGGAAGCCTAATTTCTCTGAGGAAGTGACATGGCAGAGGTAAAATCGTAAAACCACATAAATAAAATATCATTTCCGAAGAGAAATTACAATTCTGCAGAGGCGTACAATTTCTGTAGAGACCTACTCAACGGAAATGCTAGACGTAAAGAATGCTTATTCAACTACTATTTCCGCAAAACATTAACATTTCCGTAGAGGTCGTACCATTTCCACAGAGACTTGCTCTGTAGAACCGTTCCATCAAACATCAATTTTTGTCTTTTTGCACAAGTGATCAATTCCTTAGAGAGGAAGTTATTCCACAGAGTCCGTCTCTGCAGAAACCTTGATCATTTTATTAAAATCCAATTTTCTTTATCATAGTTTTCAACCTCACCTCATTTTTTGGTTGTTTGACAAATTTTTCCAAAATCTTATCACAACCCTACTCTAATTGCTGCCAAAAATCATGAGTGTTATTGTCGTAGGTATTGTATAACGCTAATATGTATAGCTCAAAGATACCTAAAATCATTACCATATAAAATTATTACCATAAGGCTGGAGAGAGTTGTGCCATCGAAACTGCACTCCCTTCATTAACACATAAGCGTCACATCATTTTTTATTCCAAGAATGTGGTTCTTGCAACACAGGAGTGGTGCCTCACTTTATTATTATTTTTTTAAAATTAATTTAAATAAAAACTTTAATTTTCTCCCCACCGATAACAAAATGCGGCCATTTTTTACCACATTACGGTCTAAACCGCACCCAGGGGTAGTGTTCACTGCCTAGGTGGTGAAACCGCACTCCCAAACCGTGGTCACTCCTTTTGGCCTAATAGATCAATGGAAAAGTGAATCAGTATGCACTATTAGATAGTGTTGTATATTTATCCAATTATATTGTTTATTGTTGTATAACCCAATTTGTATAAGCATAATATTTTGTGTATTTATGTATTGATTTACTATCCATTTGATGACATGGAAAATATTTAAACCTAATATGGCATCACATCCCAAAGTCTCTCTCTCTCAACCACACCGCAGTCGAAGGTTGCCATCCCTACACGGTCATCATCGTTTTGTGCCCTCCTCCCTCAATCTACTTTCCCACGTGTTCCTCTCAGATCAATCTTATCAGAAACTTACTCCAATTGGCGTCATGACGAAAAACATTGCCCCTTTTTTCAATCTCAAAACCTACAGATACATACTACTCATTATTGATTTGAATGAGTTTAACTACGACACACGACGTGAGGTTTTAGAAATTTACTATACCAGTTTTTATGTTGCGGGACACCTTAACAAACCATCTTCCCTATCTAGTCCGACTCTGAATAATACAAGCTTGATTCGTTGGTAAAAATATCGATGTATGGCATGATTACCCAATAACTTCTCACTATGGTCCTTATGTATTGACTACTCAAAAGTTATGGTCTACTTTTGAAGACTTGTTATGTGACAACAAGGATGCTTGGGTAACCGAACTTAATAGTGAACTCTTGAGAATGACCATTAGTGATCGAACTGTGAATGATTGATGTTAAAAGATAAAGTTCTTATCCTATCTTTTGGTCAATATTAATTCACTACTGTATGAGATAACCTTAGTAACTATTTTCTTAATTGTAACATCCCAAAAATTCGAGTAAATTTAATTTTTTCAAAAACCTCCCAATAACCATGCTAGGTACACAACCTCCCGCTCGGATTATCCCTGGCCCACAACCTCTCGATTTGATTGCCCTATCCCATAACCTACCGGTTGGATTGCCACACATACTACACATTTGGTCCAAAACCTCCTACTTGGATTCCCCCTGGCCCATAACCTCTCGATTGGATTGTCGTGGCCCACAACATCCTGGTTGGATTGCCCCTTGTTGACTGACAGCACAAAGCAGTACAGTCTCAACCCAGCCATACCATGTTAACATATGCATCAGATAAACATATAACCAGTTAGAAGACAAACATGCATATCTACAGATCACTATCGCATAACATCATCCTATATACCAGGATACATGTCTAACATATCACAACACCATATCTACATCCTATATACCAGGATACATGTCTAACATATCACAACACCATATCTACATCCTATATACCAGGATACATGTGTAACATATCCCAACACCATATCTACATCCTATATACCAGGATACAGATCTACCAGATCACTACAACATACCAACATCCTATATATACCAGGATACATAACCAAGTATGTCGACATTGGTGCCTTCAACCTGTAAGTACAGTGAGGAAAACTCACCTCTCATTCCGAAAAAATAGTTGAATATGTATTCGCTCCGAATATCAGCTCTACCCGTCAAGTATTCATCAAATAGTCATCAATCTCAAATACAACTCCAAATTCCCAAACTACCCTTGGTTCAAACTTGGTCAAAGTCAAAATCAACTACAGCAGGTCGCCACGTCGTGGCCATCCTTGGCCACATCGCGACCACTAAATGACAAAACAGGCGAGCCTCAGCCCAGCCGCCATGTCGTGGAGACCTAGGCCACACCATGGGCACTGGGCTCCTAATAATGTAATGGATTAAGTCGATTTCTTTGATTTTAAGGGCTCCAAAGCCTAGATCTAGTCCATTCTAAGATCAATGTGGATACAGTTTCCAACTTTATCCCTTTATACTCTCTAAGGGATAAAGATCCCATTTCTAGATCTAAATGGGGAAAAAACATAACTTGGCTTAGCCCATTAAGCACTTTCTCTTGAAGACTACTAGATACCCATTTCCAGGACGTTTCTAGCATCAAATAACAACATAAAAATCATTACTTTCTAGACATGCATGTCCAACGCATGTTATTAGGGTTTTTGCCCAAATCTTTCATGCATGATGCTAAAACTCAATATTTGTGACATCCCCAATTTCATGGCCAGAAAAGACCGAGTTGTTTATTAGTTATTTAAAATCAGAGTATCGTTTTAAGAATAATATTACGGAATTTGTTCCAAAAATATGATAAAGACATTATCAAATCATTTCCGAAGAAATGTATTTTAATTATATTAAAAACGTTGGGATGTCATCGTAAATACAGTGCGTAAGCATAAATAGAAATAGTACAGGCCTTACAAACATCTATTATTCTAACAGCCTATAATCCATGGATCTCTCATCAGATCATGACACATGTGCTCTTATGCCACTACCTATAATACAAGAAACTTAGTGGGTCAGGCTTAGGAGTTTGGTGAGCAAATAGGGTTTTCAACCTACAATAATTAAGTTCTTTAATTTAATCAAATCATTCAACCCGATTACCCGTTCTCGTTATCCTGACTTTCTGTCCCTAAAGCATCTAATTTAAGGGACCTATCCTAAGGATTATCATCTCGAAAACAACATTGCTTAGGGGATTCTTTAGCAATATATGTCAGTAAGGCAACCACGAGGGGGTTGGAGTACACTCGGTGAACACGTACTTTAAAAACACCTATAGGTTGCGAGCCTACCAGAGTTCCACTGGACTATCTAGAATAGTTTGTGGTCGTCATCTATACTTCGCTAGATGACTGGATCATCTTTAAAGATGAGGCCTCTCATCATTTATTTCATCTTTCATCATCTATATCATCTACCCATCTTTATCCAACATATTTATAGGTATAAAACACATATACGGTTTAAATCATATAAAACATGTATAAATCGTTCATCTAGTATAGATACCAGGAACACAAATAATAGAAACATATAGCACGTAATTTATATTAAATAATTTATATCTATGTGTAATATGAAAGTAACTATGTACTCACTTGTTAAAGTGACGACTCGTAATTCAAGCAGCGCTTCGCTTCTAATAATTGTATTTTCCTTTGACTAAACCTAGTATCATTATCACTAATTCTTAGTCTATTATTTATAGCGACTAATTATTAGTCTAGATTCATCATTAACTCAAAGTCTAATTCACGATCTATCAAGTAAAGAACAACCAGGTAGGATCATATAGAAGGTAAGGTCTGTTTGGTATATGAAGTATATTGTTTGGAAATCTCACTTTAAAAACCTCACTAAACCCAACCTACACATGGTGGTTGTCGAGGCCAACAAAATAAGTAACCCTAAATCTTTTACACTAAAATAGTGTATAGTGGT